TCCGCACTTCCGTAATAATCGTTATAGAGTCGTTCCGTCCGTTAGACGCAGTGCGGATCTGACTTTAAACAATGCGTGTTACCAACAAACAAAAAATTGTTTGCAAACAAAAAATCAACAATTTCTTTTATTTATGCTTCTTTTTCTTATGCTTGCACAAGGATACTTTCTCCCATAAATGTGAATAATTCATAAGAGACTAAAAAAAAATATATATATAAAAAAATCACGATTTTTCTCGCGATTTTCTCGCGGGTCTGAGAGACTTATGATCTTATTTCAGTGCCAAGATCTGTGTTATTCTCTTAACACATTCCGGCCTAATTTTACACCATCGACGGCTTACGTTACCCTATCATGAGGTGAATTTTACCCCTCCAAATAAACACACGCGTCTCATAATAACGCGAACACGCCGCGCGGGAGGTGTGAACGAAATCGTCGAAGCGGGTGGTTTCTCCGGATTTTTAACAATGACAATAAGGTCCCCTCGTTTCTCCGCACACACGTGCGCGCGACACCGACTTCCCTAGTGCGGCCGTTCTCCTTGCCGCCGTATTTCACGAGCGCACGGCGGGTGGCAAGGCTACGCTCACGTGGTGCAGCGACGGTGCAGCGCGATCGAAACAAAACCGAAATAGTAATACCCGTGAGTGCAAACGGGATAGGGTTTCTCGCGCGCGCGAACGTCGCACCCACACCGAGCTCGCAAATGGGATTAAGACGAATGGAAACCTTAGTTCACCGTCGTCACGCCGTCCCGGAATGCGCTCCGTGCCGCGTCGCTTTCATTTTGCCGGGAATTACAGCGGATGTAGCGGAGATTGCGCCGCGCGGGAAAAGGGTGATTAGCCGTGAGAACACGGCGCGCGGTCTCCCCGATCACAATTTCGACTCTCCGCGCGTCAGAGAGAGCGGATTAACCGTCGCACGTGCGAGCGTTTGAAACTATGACGCGTCGCATGTCTGCGGCGGCGCAACACCTTGTAACTTATTCTTCGACAGCCGGTCTATGAACTATCGATAATACAGCCGCCTAAGGCTGATTTATAACTTTTAATAGTATCGAGTCGGGCGTAGCCCTCGTGCTGCGAGGATGAAATATCGCCGTTCCCGCCGCTCTCGCGATTGTATTTCGCGGTTGAATTATTTTCACACGTGGACACGAAGTTTTAACCCTCTCCCCCTCCTCCAACTGCTTGCCGTCCGGCCGCGTTCGCAAGTGAAGATTACCAAATTCATCTGCCCGGGCGCGAGTACGACGGCTCGTAATTTACGGTCGGAATATTCAAACCGACAGCGTGTACATGCGCTTTAATTTACAGGAATTATGAAGTTCGATAAACAACGTCCGCAATGACAAACATGTAAATATATTCGCATATTTTTTTGATAAACCGCATTTTCGGATCTCGCGCGTGTTTTATTTCACGGGATCGTGATACAACTGCGGGCTGAAAACACATATGTGTATATATACATGTGTATATATATGTATATATTTTGCCGACGTCACCGTGTTGTTCGTATGTTATTCATGGCGAGGAAAAAATTTCAATATTTCGCCGCTGCGCGGAGGAAGCAAGGAAGAATCGAAGTGCGATGCGCGCGCGGAAGAAAACTCCCCGGCGTTGCTTTGCCGTGAATAAGCCGTGAAATATCGAGCGCGTCGGATTATAAAGAGAGAAAGAGAGAGAGAGAGAGGAAGAGAGGAAAAAAGAAAGAAGCAACGTGTTCCTATTTACACGCGGAGTTGTATTTCGAAACGCAGGGCCCTCGGGTGCGCACATATCGATCGCGACGACGGCACGATCGTCGAACGGAGCGGTTTCTACTTCACGCGGTATACTTGACGAGCCTCGATAAAGAGACGAGAGCCAGCCAAACCGAAATCCTTTGATCGTGTTTGAGACAAGCCATCCGCGCAGTTCCGAGCACTCGTTCTTCGAGAACCCACTTAGCAGCGGCGCGAGGAGATAGGAGTCGATTCGCCAATTCGCTCGAATCACCAGCCAGAAAGTCAAAACGGCTTGAAGAATCTCTCCGACAGCTGAACCCTTTCTTCGCGTCGGAGATTGAACGGTCTTCTTATCGCCTGCGCTTCGCTTCGCGATTCTTACGCTCATACGTGAGAAATATGCTCGGATCGAGAGCTCGAAATTGCGAGCAATAATTTCTGGATCCGGGACGGATCCCCCCTCTCGCCGGCTCCAGGTACTTGGAAATATGTCAAAATATTTTCTACGTTTATTGAATACAAGGGCCTCTTGACGGTGAATGTGTCGATGTTCGCTATGCATACAACGCTCTCTCTCTCTTAACGTCACACGTAAAAGAGAATAATTCCATGTCGAATTATTCTAAATTGTAAATAATCTGGATACTCTTTACCATCGCCGCAAAATATAAAGTAGAGCGGGGCAAAAAGTACCGCGGATAAGAAGTGCCATTTATAATATTTCGTAAAAGGAAAGATCGTTAAAGATATTCACTTACGCGATTTGAACGCGGAGAGTAAGCGGATAACAACACGGCCGATCGTTATATTCTGGTCCAAGTAGATATATGCAGCACTCATTCTGTTTCTTGGCCAAAAATACCTTTTCTTTATTGCGCTATTCTTCGTTTCTTTATTAAACTATTCTTCATTTCTTTATTAATTCTAAAGAATGCTTGAGCAAAAGTACACAATAACAGCTTACATAGATTCTGATATATTTGCAGTGAAATTGGCACTTTTAGCTCTGCCCTATCCTACTTTAATCACATATGGGAAGATTAATTCTCGTACGAGAGCGAGTTCTAGTCTCTCGACGCACTCGGGTAATCGGGATTATCTCATGTGCGTTTAGTGTATAGTTTGATTTATCTCGTAACGTTCGTCCCTAAATGCATCATGCTGCCGGTTGTCGCAGCGCGGTAATTAAAAGCATGTAAAATAGCCGGCGACGCGAAACGCATAATAGACCATTGAAAATATGCGCGGCGGGAAAATGACGCGGGGAAAAAGCGAGTAGAATAGGTCATGCATTGTGTAACCCTTTGTTGGAAATGTCGCCGATTCTCGTGGTATTGTCATTATTCATCCATTTTACATCGCACAATCTTTTATAATGTTGCTCCCGCGCGGTTATTTTGCAATTTTTACGACGGAACATTATTTCTGTCGCACCCGGAGAATATAATTTTCTTCTGCCGTTTGGCGTTAATCTCTATACTCTCGTCGCGTAACGTTAATCAATAACGCGGTGTCAACTCGCATGCGTCGCGAATACGTTCGTCGAAATGAAAAAAAGAGGAGAAAAGAGGGGGAAAAAAATATATATATATATACAGCACACGAGGGGAGAAATTAAAAATCAAATCACGTGTTTTTAACGACATTTCACATTATTTATAGTCGACATATTGAAACGTCATGAATTACACCGAGGTGCGCAAATAATAATAAACGCCGACCCGAGGTGGGAGAGGGGGGCGCGTCAATTTGAGCAACATTTTTCAAATCTTGTTCCCCCCGCGCGCTCGATACAAATGACTCGATATATCGCGCGGACATTTGGCCAGGAATGGAATTCAGAAAATTGTAAATATCTTCGCGTTCGCAAATAAATATGTCCCGTTCGCGCGCGCCGCACGCACGCGAGCACGTACGCTATTTACACTCGTCATTTCGCCGTTATCATTTTTCCATTTTTTATTTATTCCGCACACGCGGAAGCCCGGTGTAACTATCTACCTCTGGATTGCGCTCGAACACGCTATGGCTACGGCGTACCTCGCACCCGCCGTGCCGCGTAATACGTGTAACAACGCGATTAAGCGGCGCCGAGATCTCTGATCCGCGAGCACCGGCTGTCCGGCTATCGTCGCTGCAGATCGATTCAAGCCGGCACGAAGGAGATCGCAATTCGCGATAGCATCTAGTTAACGGCATAATTCTGGGTTCCACTTGGCGTCTTCTAAGACAAAGGTTAATAGCATCCCCGTCTAGCTCCTTTGACCGCAAGTATCTAATCTGGCATTGAATACGTCAGCGCAATCGCACGCATCGCGGTTAATGGAGCCCGGGGTCTTCCGCGTCGGCTCACCAACGATATTTAGAGACAGGATCGATTTCCACCGATTTCTCGCGAATAATCGTTCGGGATTCCTGCGACCGTCATGTGTCCGTGACACACTCTTCGTGACGTTACGTTTCCTTGCAGCGGAAGGGAAGGCTCACCGGGTAAATCTTGTATACAGGGTGAGGCAATAACTATTACTACCTTGAATATCTGACAAATGTTTATTAACACGTTCAGTTTATCGTTTTCGGTGCGTGCTGTGAGTCTCCACGCCAACCGATATTTTTGTCATTAAGAGGCAAAGTATTGTAAAATAATTTGTTTTACCGCCCATTCGTATTTTGTTATCGTGTTTGGAGCGCTTTTAAAACCGTCGTCCGATTTCGATACACACGGCATTCGTCGAACATGAGCGTTCAATTGTTATATAAAATATTAGAAATTTAAGCATCGGAAATGCTAGAGCTGTAAAACAAAGGAGGTAACAAAATTTTATGAGGATCGCCCCAACAAACTGTACCGATGTATATGTTATTTCAATAAAATATATCGTACCATTCGATTACAAATACAAAATATTTAAAAGAGTTATATTTTATTCGTTTCATATATTATAGTTTATCTAAACTAATATATTAAAGTTTTTTTAATGTATTCTGTTTTATTCTACAATATTTTGTTTGTTATTTTACAAATTTTTAGTTTTGAATAAATAGATTTATTTGTTTTGTTCTAACTGTGCACTTTATACCTTGAATATATTCACTTTCACAATAAATAACTTTCTAATTCACAAAAAACCATAAACCATTTTACCCTTATTCTCATATTTCGAAGATACTCAAGATAATTTATGGTTACTGCCTCATCTTATATATATTTGCGGTAGATGTTTTGAAACGATATATAATGTTAAGCTTTTACAACCACTTGCCGTACAGAGAGTAAGAGGGATTAATTAAATTTTTACTGTGAAAAAACCAGCATTGTATTGGATGAATGAGAATTTTCTCGCATTGTTTCACTCTGCATATCGTTAATTCATCAGGACGAGTTTAAATAGTGGAACTGTGAGAAACGTCGATCATTATTATTCTTCGTTATTATAATAACAGTCTTTATAGCGCGCTATGAAGGTCTGCATATAATTAGTATATTAATTAAGAATAATATACTGAAACCAATTATAATATAATAATTCATGGTATGCTGCAGAATGCATACTGGCGATTTATTTTACTTCGCGGAGCATTATCAAGCGTAGACTGATATTTTATAATTTATTTACAAACTCATTTGTACAACGAATAGACAGGAGATATAAGCGTAACTCAGGTATTAAATAATTCTGCAATCTGTTCGCATTAAAACGCGTAATTCGCGGTTAGTTTCGAACCACACGTTATGGCTTAATGATATCGCCTACGATAAATTAAATAATCTAGTAATGCGCGTTACATTTCTCGTTCAAACTAAAATATATTAGGTCCAATTGCAATAAGATATTCTCACGACACGACTCATTTGCGACACGCGCAATTACATATACTCACACACAAAGTAAGTTTCCCCCTCGGCATAAATTTCTTTCTTAATCGAGTAAGTTTTCTTTTAAATCGGGCCATATCTTTGTAATTTCATTCTGAATACTGGTTCAACAGATGATATTTCACATATTTTATAACCAAATATACTGGATGTTTCAGACCAACAGAGACAAACTTCGTGAGGGCACAGAAGAGGGGATTAGAAAACAAAAGAGTCCTCTATCATTTTGCAAACAATACGCACAATTTCGAGTTATCAAACGCCTTTACGAAGTTTGTCTCTGTTGGTTTAGGACACTCTGTATAAGGCACAACGAAATATCTCTCGTTGTATTCGCGGGAACAAACCGAGTGGAAAGTGATTGTCCGAAATATTCCACCTAAATAAACAACCTATCTTTCGCTTTCACACGTTACTTCCCTCAAACTCGCTATTTTCGACAAGGAGACCGTCGTCAAGTCAGGACTGTCTGAGCGTATTCCGCGAGTCGATCGGTCGTTTTCCTAAACCTCGACGCATCCCGCCGGAGAAATCCATTATCGTAGGCTTATTCGGGAATGAGAAGGTCGTTCTCTGCGCTCAAGCGTTACTCCCTCGCGGGCTTGAGGACTTCCGTCTTCGATCTATCGTCGTCGTCGGTATCGTACGGTGCTAGCGCGGGCTTGTCGCGGAAGTACACGAGGCGCGTCAGCATCGAGACGACCGACGGGATCTGCTTCTTCGCGTGGAACTTGATGTTCTCCGGCACGTACGATTGATACTCGATGGCGACGCGCCGGTTCACGAAGGTCATCAAGCTGAGTAGATCGCGGCTGCTCCCGTGAAGATCCAGTTCCTCGCAGAATGCCTGTATGAACCACGAGCCGGAGTCCGGGTTACGCCAGGAGTAAAAACCTGAAAGTCGTAACGTGCGGTTACTTCGCTAGTGGATTGGTTCTCTCTCGCGCGGGTAATGAGATACACTCCGTGTGACGCCGTTTCGCGACGCTCTCTCTCGTCGAGGTGGATGCGCCAGCGAATGACCCATGACCCGTGGCAAGAGGGTGGCAGGCAGGAAGGAAAGAAGCTTAGCAATATGAGACGGAAACTTAACGCGTCAACTTCCGCGTGTATGCTTAAAAGTACGTGTTCGTTAATTTTCCGTACACGCCTCGCACTAAACGCGCTCGATTTCTGCGTCGCACTTCCATCATCTTGAGCGTGAGATATGTACGCGCGTGATTTTCTCCTTTCTTGGTGAAATATAAGCCTTTTGGGTGCGCATGCGTGTGCTTGTGAGTGTGTCTGTGCGCGTGTGTGTGTGGTGGTGGCGACCTAATTAGGAAATATCAGTTTACCTGTTTCAGCGATGCTTAGGAAGTAGTTAGGAAAATGAGTAAAAATGAATTAATTTGAATAGTTAGCGTGTCGGCTCCACGTCACATAGTCAACAGATCTGTCATGATTTTAAGTTAACCCTGTCTCCGGTAAAAAGTTGCCGACTGCCTGGGCAATAAGTTTAAATTAATTTCAACTTTCCGCGCATACGAGTAACCGCGTGCCGCTCTCTAATTGTGCCGCACGGAACAGATATATTTTAACCTGAAATTGCAAAGTTAGGTGTTATCCCTCGGTTTAACGCTTGAACTTCTCTACGGGAAGCCGTGCATTCTACATTCGAACGGCATCGTGCCTTAGGCCTCGTTTGCTACGATAGGTGTAGAATCAGCGAAGTGGTCTAACGAGGATAATAACGATTGCTCAGAGTGTGATCCCAAATTCTTGTCTGATATCCTTCCGAACATCCTCTCGAATGTTCGGGGAAACTGTTCATTTCATCACTTCAGATTAATTATTATTCGACAATCGATTTGCTCACGTTGAATCGCTCGAAAATGTGCACACTCACAAGCTCAATTCTTCCCGTATCGTCCTGAGTCGCAATTATTGAATCGAGTCACAAATCACTTTCGTTGTTTCTTCTCATAAATCTATTTTACATGAAATATTTTCGTACCGTTTAACCTAATGTTACATGTTCGATATTATATTAATAATTTATTCGTGTATATTTAATTAACGAGCAGCTTATTCGAGTCGAATTTCGATTCTGCATTAATTTAGTACGTGATTTCGGAATTTATTTAATATTGGATTATCGCGAAATTCTTCCTTAATTTCATTAAGCGGTATACTGTCAGGGATAACTAATGACTCGATCCAACACGACACCGGCGTAGAATCGGAAGAATCGCAAGAAGTATGCGATTGACCGTGGAATCGAGAACGTCGATGCAGATCGCTCATAGCGAGCAGCAGCCCCGAAGTGGGTCGTCGCAGATAGTTTTTTTTTCGGACGACATCGCTCACTCTCTTAATCTATCTCCTTAGATCCGTTCGTAGTGGCGCTGATTAGCGTTAATGCCGATTAGTTCGCCGGGATTAGATCATTCCCCCCCGCCTATATTACACAAGGTGGGATCACAACGCTCGCGACTCGCTAATCTGGGATTACCTGGCGTGTATACCATGAATGCAACCGGCGGAGCTTACTGCACCGAAAACTGTTCAATTACTTCGTCTCTTACTTCGCTATTCTCCCGCGCTGTTATTGCGTTTGCAGGAAGGACGAGGGGCGCTTATCATAAACCGCGTTCTAAACACACCGCGATCGGTGGAGATTCGCTCGGTTCGCGGGGCCATTTATTGAGGATCGCTTATGTCGCCCTAGCTCAAAAGGACTACTTCCAATTTACGTGGCGTGCAAAATTGCCTCGGACGCGCACGGTCTGACAGATTCCTAGACAGTGATCGAACAGTTACGAGCGGGGCAGGGGGGGAGGCGTGTATTATATATTATAGCGAATTCGATCACTCGCACTATATCGGATTAATGTATACTGAAGGTCGCTGCGCATCAAGCATCCAAATACAATGCATAACATAAGCACTTTAACGACGATAAATCATTATAATATTCATACATTATAATGTAATATATAATAATAATAATAATAATAATAAATGTAATAATGTATATTCACCGTTTAATAATGTGACAATATTATTAAGTGCTTGATCGTTCAAATATCTTCCAAATTTTAGCTCGAAAATTCAATTTGAAATTTGACAAACACGTAAGCATGATTGTACCCTTGGTTTATAGAAAATTAAGCTTCCTCTGTTATTCCAATAATTTCAAAGACGTACGCATCCTAAATATTTAATATTATTATATGTAACAATATTACTTTCTTGTCCTTACCTTGAATATGGCTCCACTATCTGGTCCATATCAAGTTGGAAGTTCTGTTTTTTTTTTGAAAGTATCCAGAACCGATTTCTTAAAAAGAGTTAGTTTCGAATAATAATAATAGTAGTATATGCTTATATGCCTTTTTATCTAAATGATTGCTTCAGTATAGTAGTCTTTAGCATACACCAATCCGATACAGTGCAGATGATTGAATTCGCTATTAGATTCGTGCATTCCAGAACTCGTGCGCGAAAACGATAAGTTTTATATCGTCATCGTCGTAACGAAGAGCCTTGGGGGGGGACTACGTTGCCAGAATAGACAAAAATCGTGTCTGTACCCGCTTACCGCTCGAGAATATGTAAGAGAAATCGATTCCCTGATATATTCGAACAACGTGCTCACCGTAAACGACGCGTAGTACAAACCTACGGATTCGACGCGACATTTTTATCGCGCGAATTTTCACTCGAGCTAATTTCGCTCCCGCGCAGAAGTTCGAGTACCGACCGTTTTCTCTCTCTCTCTCTCTCTTTCGACCAGTCGTGGCCGAAAATAAAACGTGTTTGTACACGGTTAATTTTTCAACGATTTTTAAACGGTGAATTTCGGATACAAGTGTGCCGTAGCGATTATATCCGAGAGCGTACGATGCGTGCACGTTAAGCGGCAATAATAATAATTCAATAACGCGATGCGACGCGAATCAAACACGCGAACAACATTCAGCGCAAACCGGTCGGACCTACTCGATGATGTATTAACCGCGTGTTCACTCCTATTGCGAGATGTTAAATGCATGTCCCCTATCATGAAGGTATGTTAACTATGCGCTTATCTTCTACATGGCATATTAATGCCACCTTCAGCATCGGGCCAGGTGTTATCCGCCAATTCAGTACCACCCGCGTATTAACAATACGTCCACTTCGTGCAGCGTGTGTTAAACGAGCGAGCGAACGTGTGTGTGTACGCGGGCACGCACGTACGCGCTCCCACATGTTCACATATTAATGCCTAACCTTGGGATATTAATAGCATGCGGACCGTCTGCATGCCGCGTTTATTATATCGCGCAACTATTATCCAACTCCGACGTCTATTATACATATTTTATATCGCCACATGGAGATAATTTCCCGGGAGCGGATTTTACACACATTCGTCGGTGCGTTTGTTCATTGCGCGAAGCGACGATAGTGGTGGTGATGGTGTGTACCGATGTTCATCGAAAGAGAGAGAGAGAGAGAGAGAGAACCTCCGTGTGTACCGAAATAAATCCATTACGCAATCAGAGCGCGTGATTATCATTAAGCTCATTTCGATTGCGAAACGTAAATCCGCAGGGAAACGGCTCGTTTGTTCGCGTCTCATTTCGCCAAATCTGGGTTTGATATTTCGTTATTGTTATCAACCGCTCTAAGTATCGACTACACAGCGAGTTTAACGTGTCCAAGACGCGCGATGTTTCTTGCACGCGGTTGAACATATATGTACGTGTATTTCGTTTAACCGCCATGAACAAATGTTGTTTGCCGGTCTCGCCTTAATACGATGGACGGTGTATATTCGCAAACATCATTCCGTAGAATACACGCGCATTACATAAATTCTGTTTACCTTCCTTAATCGATGCGACGGACGTGAGCGAAGTTGCCGGGGAAATTTTGCGGCGCATTTCCGCGGGAGCGAGCCACTCGCGGCCTTATTACGTCCGATTTCAAAGCGCGCGGATTACGCAAAGCTCTCGCGTGCGAGAACGCAACGGCTTCTGAATGTTTTTATTAATTTTAATCGAAAGAGGCAAGATATATCGCCAGCAGAGAGATAACCTCCGGGTTTTTCCCCCTCAAACACGCCGCGAGTTCCATCCTTCGTGTCGCATTCGCGTCGGAAACGTCATTTTTTGTAACACGCGACACGGCCGCTTTGTAATCGCTAAGTCCGACGGACGCATAATTCGCGATCGCTTCGATTACAACGCGCTGACAATCGACAGGTATTTTTCATTAATCCAATTCCGCACGATTGACGTCGCGTTGGTATGCTTTGCCGCGATGCGAAATTCTCGTCCAGCAACCTGCCAACGCGTTTGTTGCGTTGCCGAACTCCCGAGCTTTTTTTCGTTTTTCGTGAATTGTCGGGCTGCTGCTCGCAATAAATCAACGGTACTGCAATCGTAACAAAGTTCGCGCCATTCGATCCCGAATTTAGGCGAATCTCCGTCAAGAGCTCGCAATATTTCATTCCGAAACTTATACGTATATATATTATACGTATGCATATATGTACATATATATGTATGTGTTGCACGCGTATTACCGCAGTGCGTTTGCGATTTGAGATTCGTGAAGTTTCGGTAATCGCACTTCCAAAATTACGTTTACGCCGTCGTATTGAAGCTGACGTCGAATGTCGGAGTGTAAAATAAAATTTCGAACGACGTGTATGTATAAAGAAATGATTTCTCGGCGAAACACAAAGAGACGTCGAAAAGTGGAGCGTCGCTGTGGATTTACGTGGAAACAGTGGAAATGCATCCCGTTTTTGCGAAATATGCTGTGCCAAGTACGCCGGGCGTATCTTGCCGATGACAGGATCCCGACTAGAAAAGTATACCTGATATTGTATAAGGTCTTATATAATTTCTTAAGACCCG